TTGCAGTGAGTGAGAGGAAATCCAAAATATAGAAGCCTATCTACCTCTTAAGTAAATTAAATCTGGTAGTGAGCAGTGGGCGTCAGTTATGGTGGGTCCGTGATTATCAGGGACTCAGGCTCCTACCTATGGCTCCCCATCCTCAGCCAGTTCTATTCACTTCATGGCCCACGTGGCTGCTCCAGCTCTAGCCATTGCCTCTTCATCCCTGCATCCAAGCCAGCAGGATGAGGAAAGTGGCCAAGAGTCGCATGTCCCTTCCTTCAGGGACACTTCTGGATGTCATGGATACTCTGGTTCTACTTACTTCCCATTGCTGGTCACACACGTAGCTACAAGCAAGAAGTGCACGTTTGGTCTTTTTTCCTAAGTAGCAAGAAATTGGAGGAGGGTTATTACCAAGAACAAAAGGAGAAACAGATTTGGGGAAGCAGCTGAGAAAAGTCTGCTACCACTGTACTCATGAACTGCCGGTAAGTGCTGGTGGGCCCGCCATCTATCCATCTATCAAGGGTCTTGGTGAAGGAGAAGCCTAGTGGTCAGCGGGGCAGAGAGGGGCCCCATGTGGCAGCGGGCACAGGCTGAGGAGCAGCCATAGGAGGTACTGGGGGAGGCAGTGTAGGGCAGGACTAACTCTACATTGAAGGACCAGGTCTTCCCTCATTCCTATCCCTTTTGAACCTACCCGCGTCTACTGCTGGGGGCGAGGACGCTGCTTGAGCCAGGAGTGATCACCCCCAGTCAGTACACCACACCCGTATTCCTCTACTTGTTCTGCTGGTCCCACCTCGTGTCCAATTGCTATGAACGTTTCTCTCCCTTTCTGCACCCATCCCCTCCCTGGGGAACCGCAGTGGGGGCCGCCCCTGTCCCCGCCAAGCTTTGCCTAGCCCTGGTCTGGGCAAGGGACGCCGATGGCTCCGACAAGCTTGGACTTGGAAGCCGGCCTATTCTGCGCCCGGCCTTGTGTGATCCTCCAGGACAATAATTGCACTTGATTGAATGCAAGCCTTGCAGACATAGGTCAGGATTGCGCAACGGGAGGCCAGGGGGCGGTGCACAGCGCTGCATGGAGTCCTCGGCTATCCCGCCAGCGCTGCAAGTCCAGCCCCACCGCTCCTGCTCCAGCTCTGGTCCGCAAAATAAGCGAAACAAAAGCAAAGAAGCCCATCGAGATTCTCACAGGGGCAGGTCGGCGGGCCGTGGGCTAGGGGAGCCCAGGATGCAGCCCTGACAGCCCGGCGAGCGCAGAGCTGGCAGCCGGCAGCTCGGGCTGAGCCTGGTAGAATTCTACGCGGGAGCCAGCAGGGCAGCTGCGCAGCGACGCCACAGGCGGTTGGTGGTACTGCAGCGCACTACGCTTGCGGGCGGGGCCAGCGTCCTGGCGGGCTCCCGGGTTCTACTGGCTGCGCATGCCCAGTGCGCTGCTCAACGCTCCCCTCCAGCAGACCAGTGGGTGGTGAAGCAAGGCGTGAGCAACCCGGAGCCCCAGGGAAGGAGGCAGGGCGGCTGGGATCTGAGCCTAGCCGCAGGCGCTGTCCTCTGCCGGACAACCCCCATGGAAGGTTGCTCCACTCCCTCCTTTTTACTGTTAAGAAAAGCGTCTCAGAGACTGGCAGTAACTTGCCCGAGGTCACACAGCTGGTACAGAGGAGTAATGGGATCAGGATTGGACCCTGCAGCCTCCACGCCCTGCGCCCCAGGACTGGGAGAAGAACTGAATTGAGCTCGGGGACCGGGGCAAAGAGGCATTTATTATCCCTCTTTCACAGATGAGCAAACGAAGGTCAAAGAAATTACTAGACATTTCTGAAATGTTTTCAACAACAAAAAAAGCCACCGCCTTGGATGTCCTGTTTATGCATTGTCTTGAAGCGCTGCAGATTTGCCTGTCCTTGCCTCCCCTCCCCCAATGTTAGCCCAAAATTCCTAACCGGCTGTTAGAGACCTGGCCCTTTTCCAAGGCACAGAGGGGTAGGTTGCCTCCCTCTGAGCCACAGCCCTCGCTGGCAGAACTGAGGAAATAACTCCTTAAGGTCGCAGTTTGCAAGTGGCCGGGATGATCCCAATCTGCACTGCGCTTCCTGCTCTTCCTCAAACATGCCCAGCGTATGCCCACCTCAGGGCTTTTGCACATGCTCTTGCCTTTATGTGAAGCTCTTCCACCTTCCTGCACTGCTTCCTACTCATGACTTAGAGCTCATCTTCTGAGACTCGCTTCACTGAGCCATTCAGATCCTTTCTCTTGCTTTGCACTCCCTTCCACATCACACCCCCCAGTTTTATTTCCTCCCCAGCCGGCCTCTAGCACTCTCCAGTTATTTATCCCCGTTAATTGTCCGAGCTCTACAACCCCCTACTAAATGAATGCTCCCAAAGAGCAGAGCCTTATCTTGCTCTTCATCCTATCCTCAGCATCTAACCTGTGCCTGCAAGGAACAGGCATTCAGATGTTTGTTGAATGAATAAGTGAGCAAACATTGGCTCCCAGCCATGACACTCAATGACTGGTTTTGTTCGTATGCCTTTCCTCTTTTCTCCGGCATGTTAGGCAACCATCTCTGGGAGTTTCTTAGGGTTGCTGTTACAAACACACTTATTATCTTACAGTTCTAGGGGCTAGAAGTCTGAAATCAAGGTGCAGCAGATCTTGCTCCCTCCAAAACCTAAAGGAAAATATCCTTGCTTGCCTTTTCCAGCTTCCAATGGCCCTCGGGCGTTCCTGGCTTATGGCAGCATCGCTCCAATTTTTACCTTCATCTTCCTGTGGCCCCTTTCTCCCTGGGTCTCTGTGTCTTCACACAGCAGCCTCCTCTCTGCTTCTTCTTTAAGGATGCCAATCATGGGATTAGGGCTCACCGATGACCTCATCTAAACTCTGTCTGTAAAGACCCTCAATTCCAAATAAGTGCACATTCACAGGTGTGAGTCTGCATCTGCACTCACTGGCAATTTAGGGCTCTAACGTCTCTTTTGAAGGGGGGACATAATTCAACTTGTAACAGAGGTGACCCATGGAACACTAGAAAGAGATTTAGATAAACGAAGCTGGAAGATGGGGAAAGAAGACCTGAAGGGCTGTCCTGCATGTAGGACAGGAGCACTGGTTGAATGTCCAGAAATAACATGTCTGGGTGAACTCTCCCTGCATCGGGACTTTTAGGGAACAACACTTCAACTTTAGGGGTTCCTATCCCTGCTTGGCCCTTTTGCAGGCTATAAACTCCTCATTTTCCAACCCTTCACGAAGTATTTTTGTCACTGAATTTGGGCTCCTGAGAAATATTTAAAAAAGAACTGCTACTGGGCACTTCTTATGTGCCAGGGACTGTGTGAGCCCTGACCTGCCCCCTCCCGTGTAATGCAGAAGACTCAATTGTGCGATCGGTCCTATTATTCTCTGACCTTTACAGGAGTCCTGAGGTTCAGACAGGCTCGGGAGCAGGCTCACAGCTTCGTGCCAGTCGGGGTTTCTAACCAGTTCTAACTGCAGGGAAACTTCCAGGAAATCCAGAGGGACTTCCATTCATTCTACTTGACTCAAGAGGGCCCAGCTCTCTGCGACGCATGGGTGCAAGTTACAAGAAGATGAAACAAATTAGACGAAATTTAAGGGGGGAAATCTCTACTACTCAGACTTGGAATTCTCCAATACTTAAAATTAACAGTTTTCCCTGATGTGGCTCCTTTTGTTGCTAAAAATTGCCAGGCAGTGGCCAGATTAGATTCTCACTATCCTTCCCAAGCCCACCTCACTCTTAAGGGGGACTGTGAACTCTGTCCTATTCTCTCTGCTATGGACTCTTAGTACATAAATGTGTGTTCTGAGAAGACATCCACCAGCTGCCAGGAGCCCTCGGAGACAGAGGGCCCTCAGCAGCAATGGGCAGCATATGGCAGCATAGAGCCGATGCTGGTGATCCTCTCGGGGTTGGTATTCTTTCTGTCGGGCTCTGGCTAGTTCAGGCTGGGACAGTTTTGTCCTCCTGCTGATCCTGTGGCTGACATTGTGTCTTGGCCTCCATCTGTCCGTGTTGAAGAGTTGCCCCAGCCCTGCCTCTCCTCCCTGCTTCTGGCCGATGTCCACGCCTGACCTCTGGCCTCGACAGGAAGGCGTCAGAAGCCAGCCTTGCCCCTTCCGGAGCTTTGAAACAAACTTTCGGCTGCAATCCCTGGAGAAACTGCGCTCCCCGGTGACGCTGCTTCCCCGCCACACTCTGCCCTGAGGAGGGAGCAATTTTATTTTATAGGGAAATGCATCTGTGTCACTGATTGTGGGGACTCTAGCGACATGGTCCCACTCCATCCTCTGGGAGGGTCTATTCTAAATACTTCTTCCTTCCGGAAGGACAGCAGTGAGCGGGTACCCGGGTGGGGGTGCAGGGAGGTTCCCAGAAATGGTGGCTGGTGCCAAAGAAGCAGGAAGAACCGCTGGCATCCCATGAGCTCACTCCATCTACCGACTCTCCCACAATCCTTGTCTTGTCTGACCCTCACACCCACCTACGTAACCGACGAGGCTTCAGGGCCGAGACTCAGAGAGGCCAGGGGCCTCCTCGCCCAAGGCTGCGGAGCTAGGGCATAGAGGAGTCGGAATTCGAACCTGGGCCTTCTGGACCATCTCAGGCACGGCTGCTCTCAAGAGAGGACTTGGGAGAATGAAGACCTGACTCCTTTCCTCTCCTCGTCGCTCGCCGGCTGCTGGACTTCAAGCTCCACGAGGGTAGGGGGTGGCCCCAGCAGGGCACTGGGCCCGCGCTGGAAGCGGGCAGCCCTGCACGGAGGCGCCTGGAGCTGGTGGACCCTGCACGCAGCGGGTGTGGACGCTCTGGGTTGAGCACTCAGCCTGGACCCGGGCTGTCGGCTTTGCTCTTAGGCTTGCAGGAGCGGGACCAGTAGGACCACAGGCTCCGTTTCAGGACCCGGCACCAGCCCCGAGCCGCGCACTGCGCATGCGCGGCGTGGCTCCGCCCCCGAGCAGGGGAGTAGGGACCTACAGTGACCGACCGGGTGTGGGGCGGCGGCGCGGTGGCGGCTCGGCCTGGGCCGGGGGTCCAGGGGCCCCTCCCTGCACCGGACTGGCTGGTGAGTGGCTGGGCAGGAGGGCCCAGGCTCCGGGTTTGAATGCGCGGGGTCTGGGCGAGGAGGGGGGTCGCGGGGGCCGCGAGTCGGGGCGGACGCCTGGTGCGGGCCGGTCCTGCGCGCCCACCCGGGTCTCCCAGCTTCCCGGCCAGGTGGCCCCGCACAGGCGGGCGCAGGCGGGGTGCCGGCAGGGGCGGGGGGCGCGGGGACGGGTGCAGAGCCGGGACGGGGTGGGGTGGGGGTAGGGAGCCGGACGGGAGGTGCGGGGAGCGCTCAGACCCACGGCCCCGGTGGCGTGGAGTGCTGTGGGCGCCCCCTGCCTGGCCGCCCGCCTTTGTGCCACCGAGACCCACAGAGTCACCCCAGAGGCGCCGGGCTGCCCCTCAGTGGCCGCGGGTCCGGGCTGCGGGCGCTGGCGGCGGAGCCTCGGGTGCCTCCAAGGCCGCCCCCTGTGTTTTAAATGATGCATCTCCCGGGAGCGTTCTACCGGTCGGTGGAGCAGGAAGTGTCGTCAGGAGGCCATTTTTAAAGCCTCCTTCGGCCTCGGAGGTAAGCGCTGACGTGTTTAGAGTCTCAGAGTCAGAGGCACCCTCCCATCCCTCGAGGGGGCCCGGCCGTCTGTCCCCAGAGACCACGGTGTAGCCCGTTGTACCGCGCTGCCCTCCAGCTCCCGCGCTGTTAGCTGTGGACTCGCCTCGAATAATGTACCATCGGTGTGAGCGTGCCAACAATAAACTTGAAAACCAGACTGGCATTGTCTTTTCTTGGGTGTCTTAGGGCGTGTCCAGGGACGGGCTTCTTTTTTGAGGACCTGGGCATCTTTTGCTGGGGAGGGGGAGGGGGAAGAGGGGATCCCACCACCCACCACCCACCCCCATTCCAGCCTGCCCGTTTATCTTAGGGTTGTTGGGCAGTTGCAGGCCAGGAAAACAAGGCAGGATGCAAAAGAACGAACATTTCTTAATGGGAAGGGGAAAGCCACAGGAGAGAATGAAAAACACTTCAGTTCCTCATGTATGTTGAGTATTTAAAATACCCCCGACTTTACAAAACAACGTAGCAACCCACCTTTATAAAACGAAATGCGAAACGCTGAGCATTATTTAAATAAGTCTAAACGGCCGAAAACATTTATCCAAAACATTAATCCGGCCCGCCCATTTATCCGGCCCGCCGGGTGTTTTTGCCGCCGCTGCCTGTCCTGCTTAGCAGCCGGCTCGTCCCGGGCCCGCAGTGCGCATGTGTGGAATGTCTGAGGGACACTGAACTGGCCCCCTGTTTAAAAAGTTTGAGGACCTCTGGGCTAAACTGTGATGTGTTCGAATCCTTAAATATGGTCCCCGAAGTTTAGAATGAGAATCACCTAGAATAAGACAGAGCTTGCTCTCCAGGTGTTGGAAGGACTTGCCTACAGAGGAGCAGAGACACTAAGAGTGCATATCTTGTCAGTGAGTCACACATGCACAGTTCAGCCCAGCCTGGTGCTGTGTGCACACCGCAGACAATACCGGCCAGGGGTTCTGAAGCCCAGCAAACGGTTATGTAGAAACCCGCACCTTGTAGGCTCTTTAAGCGCTGTGATGCAAGTAGCATGTTGGGCTTTTTAAATTGCATGAGATCGATGTTTTCTGGGATACATTTTTTTAATTACTTTTTATCGGGGTTCTAAACGTAGCCTTGAAAAGTGACACGTGTTTGTGTGTGTGTCTAGTTTTGTTGTGCTGATGGCATTCACTGCAAGTGCATTTTGAAAACAGACAAAGGAGGAGGGCATGATTCTGTTTGTTAGGCCTCCTCCCTGGTGCCTTATGCCAGACTAATGTTGGTTTTAAAAACCCTGGAATAGCCATTAAAAAATAAAAACATGTCTACTTGCTTTTAAGTAAGGGGATCTGGGCCAGTTTCTGTGCAAGAGGAAGAAAAAGAACATTTTTATTCTTGTCGCCATAAAGGCTGGCATTTCTTTCATTCATTCATTCATTCATTCTTCCAGCCTGTATTAAGTATAATGGCTAAGCCCTGTGCTGTTGACTATGACGAACAAGGTCCTTCCTTGCCAGTGAGGTTCCAGTCTCAATTATTCTCTGGCTGCCTAGCATAGAAGGCCTTTTCTTTGTTCACAAACTCAGCCAAAGGCCATTTCCAGGATCCATCCTTGGAGCTGAACGTGGCTAGAGATCATCTAAACCAGACACTCATCACGGGATGAGGGGTGGGGAGGCATCCACATCACCTGGGAAGAATTTTAAACCACAGGCTCCAGCCCACCCCAGGCAGAGGGTCATCGGAGTCCGGGGAGGCCTTGTTTTCCATTTTAAGGTCCCTTTGTGACTTTGCCCGACATCCCTGCTTGAGAAGCACTTTGGGGGCTCATCCCCTTTTTTTCTGGAAGAAAAGTATCTGGAGAAACCAAGGCTGCACAGGCCTGGACTTCAACCCAAGTGTCTGGCTTCTGTTGCAGGGCTGTTCGTGCAGGGCTCGCCGCCCCCAGGTTCTGAGTGTAGACGCCTGTGCCAGGGCCTGGAGCACAGACTGGATGGGCCTGGGTGCCTGAGAAGACCAGCAAGAGCCCCTGCGACCTGCCCTGCTTTGGACTCACGCCCACAGCTTGCCGGCTCCAGGCCAGAAGTCGGAACAGTGCCCAGCACAGCAGATGCTGTGACCTCGGTGCCCAGCTCACACAGCGGGTAGCAGAAAGCACAGGATTTCCATTAGACACCAGCTGACCAAGTCCTTGACCTTAAAAAAGCCACAGCTTCTCCAGGCCGGTTCTCTTCCAGGAAGCAGGTAATTGAAGGTGTGCTTTGAGGAGGTAATGTATGAATCTGCTCCTGCAGGCACCCTTCTGCCTGACTTGGGCCAAGGTGCTCTGAGACTGACAAATGCCGCCGGCCACTGAGCATCCGAATCCGATCACGGGGGTAGCATTTACTTCTCTCCACCTCCGGTTAAAGACTGCAGCCCCTGGCAGGTGTGGGGGTCAAGCAGTCCCGGTGCAAGCTCAGTGGGCTCACTGTGACGGGAACGTTGAAGTTTCCGAGAGTCTGGTAAGTGGTGACTGTCATTACGTACTTCACAGAGAACCTCAGTGAGATATTTCCAACGTCATGTGGCTAAGCAAGGTAGGACTCAGAGTCCACTTGCCTAATCACCTCATTTCAGCCTAAGGCACAGGCCTTGTCCTGCCTCCAGGCACCCGCAGGTGGGTCCGGCATCTAACAGGCTGCACAGGATGTTGGTATTCTTGCCGCTCCTGCATGCTCCCCTGCACCTATCCTGCCAGGTGCTTGTTCTCAGCCTGGGCTGCCCCTCAGAACCACACCTAGGGCCCAGGCAGCGTGAGTTTGGAGCCTCCCAGGTAATTTGACACACAGTAGGGTGACCGACCATCCCAGGGATCTCTTTAAAAAATAAGTTTAACCTCCTGGACCCATTATGAAACGTGGGTACCCTGATGCAGGCAAGGTTAAGAATCATTGATTTGGGGGGAGGTATTTCTACTATGTTTGATTATACTTTTTATTAAACTCTTAATCCATTCCCTTTATGAAATTTGATCTTTCCTGAAGGCAAGAAAAAAATATATATATATATGGAAATACAAAAATGTATTACCTTAGAGACCTGAAGTCACTAGCTGTTTAATAACAGAATTTTGTAATAGTCCTTGTAAAGACTGCCTTGTTTTTTATTTTGTATTTTTTAATGCCAACAAGAGCATACTTGCTTCTTAACATTTGTTTCTACATATAGAACTCTAAGTTTTAGACTTGAAGAACTCTAGCATTAGTCATAGCCTTTCTTCTGAAAGGTTTCTTTCCTCTTAAACTGTTTTTCTTTTTAAACTATAAAAGAACTCTGTTTCCTGAAGTAGTCTCAACTTATGTGCTCAGCGGTGTCAGGTCCAACCCAAAGTAACTCCTGAATAGGCCGGGGGTGTGGGGGGTTGGGGGACGGGGATCTTCACCTCCAGCTATGGAACTGCCTCCAAGACCCTTCTCTCTTCAGGCCCCTTTGTTAAGGGGAGTTTCTGCTTCTTTGCAGATCACTGGACTCTTCTGTGTCCCAAGGAGTCTTACAAAAATGTTGATTTATTTTTTGACAAAACATGTACTGACTGCCACGTATAAGGTTACCTGCTGTTTGCATATATACCTTTTCCTCACATCAGCCATGTAAATTAGGCATTATTTATGCCCATCTTACAAATGAGAAAATTCAGGCTCAGAGAGGCTAACAAGTCTGGCATCACCCAGCTATTGAGTCAGAAGCCTAGGTTTTGGACCTTGTTCTTGCCATCCAAGGTCCTTGCTGTCCCTGCTGTTAGTTACACTCTCACCTGGATGGCGGAGGCATCTGAGCGGGCTCTCTTGTCCGGCCTCCAGCCTCTTGCCCGGTTCTGAGCCCCAAGGGAACCGCATGGTTTCAGATGGAAAGCTAGGGTCCCCAGGGGGTACATTTGTCAGCAGCATTTGGAAATATTTTTTGCCATCAGAATGGCCACCCATTTGTAGTTCAGTCATTTCTAAGTGTAAGGAAGTTTGGCAAAATGTCTGATAACCCAATTGCTGTATTTCCTTCTTTAGATCCATTTACCATTCAATTCAATTCTGATTCTTTGTAATGGTCTGAAAAAGGTTTTACTGAGTGAGGCCAGTTTCTTCCTGAATGCCATCCTCCTGGGGAAACACTACGTTTACACACCTGATGTTGGATCCCTAATGTTGGACTCTCTCCACGCCCCTCCCCCTCCCCAATCAGGTATTGCCCGTCTACATGCTTCTGGATACTGTGGGGTAGGACAGTGGTCGCCAACCGGTGGTCCGCAGACCACTTGTGATCCGTGAGGTCCGAAAGGTTGGCAACCGCTGGGGTAGGATGTTTTAAAGACAGACCAGCCTTTGCAAAGGCTCAGGACACAAGAGGAACAGGTGCAGTTTTTGAGCACCTCTGCCACCAGGCTGAGTGCTTTGCCTACATTATCTAGTTTGTTTCTCTTAATTACCCTTTAAGTTTAATGCCCTCAAAGCCTGTTTCCTTGCCTGGTGGTGCATAGAGAGAAGTCACTTGCCTAAGGACCCAGCAAAGAGACAGATTCGGGGTTGGGCCTGCAGACCTTCAACTCCATTCCCGTTGCTTTTCATGGGCACACAGCTGCTGCCCCGCCCCTGGGACAGGGAGGCAGGAGCCACAGTGAAAGGCTTTCTGGAGAGAGTTTCCCAAATTTGCTTCTCCATCCAAAAAGGATTCAGTAGGCCAACTAATACTGATTCTGGTGGGCATCTCTCACGAGCAGAAATCTCTGTGATGATACAATTGACGCAATTGGTCAGTGGCTTTTCTTACTTTTCATGTGAACATCTCGCATGGAAACCCATTTGTTTGCCACAGGGACTTTGCACAGTTCACTGGGCTTGAAGAAGACAACGCAGTTTGGTAACTGACTTCTATGTAAGCCTATGTTGTAGCTAGAGCGCCTTCTCTGCAGTAAATCTAAGCACCTGTCCACCTCTTTGCAGGTCAGGCTGGAGGGATGGTTTTGCCCAGAGGTAAATTCTCCTTTAGGCTGTACAACCAAGCAAATGTCATTAAAATTATAAAGTGAGATTCAATATATATTCTGGAGGGAACAATTGCCAAGCAGCTAAGAAGCCTGTTAGTTAGCCCCTTTGACTAGTTTTGTGGTAGGCATAAATTCATAAAAACTGGAAAATATTTTTTTAAATATATTTTATTGATTTTTTACAGAGAGGAAGGGAGAGAGATAGAGAGTTAGAAACATCGATGAGAGAAACATCGGTCAGCCACCTCCTGCTGGGGATGTGCCGGCAACCCAGGTACATGCCCTTGACCAGAATCGAACCCAGGACCTTTCAGTCCGCAGGCCGACGCTCTATCCACTGAGCCAAACCGGTTTCGGCTGGAAAATAATATTTTAAGCAATGTGATACGTAACTTATCTAAGCACTTGTAGTCACATGATCGCAGTTCCTTCTCACGCGGTCCTGCGGTGGAGGTACTATCACTGTCTGACGGGGAAGCGACAGTTCGCCCAGGTCACCTTGGAAGCGACCGGGCTGGGAGTCGAAGCCTGTACTCTGATTCCAGAACCTGTAGCTTCAAGAACTTCCTCTAATTGTGTTGAACATTCGATGTTTCCAGTATTGAGGAGTCAAATGCTTCCTTTTTAATAAGAGGTTTTACGTACAGTGCTTTCTGGTTTTCACAGCCCCCAGGGTCACTGAAGCGTTCTTGCAAAGTCAGTGTTGTTTGTTCATGTGTCCCCACAATAAATCTCCAAGAAACCAGGACAGGGACGCTCACAGTCAAAAGGAAGACCCACCAGCAGCAAGTGCTGCACGTGGGCCTTTCCAGGAAAGGTGGGACAGTGGGGGCAGTGCATTGGTGGCACTGTGTGTGGCAGGGTCTGGCTGACACACAGCTGATGCTACGTTAAAATGCTGGCTCTGTGCTGTTCAGAGCAACTTACTAGTAATGTAAAGGCTATTGTACTTATTGTGTCAAAAGTTAATAACTCTGCCCTAGCCAGTTTGGCTCAGTGGATAGAGCATCGGCCCCCGGACGGAAGGGTCCCAGGTTCTATTCTGGTCAAGGGCATGTACCTCGGTTGCAGGTTCTCTGACCCTGGCCGGGGTGTGTGCAGGAGGCAACCAGTCAGTGTGTCTCTCTCACATCGATGTTTCTCTCGGTCTCTCCTTCCTTCCACTCTCTCTAAAATTCAATAAAAATATCCTCAGGTGAGGATTAACAACAACAAAAAAGTTAATACTAAGTAGTTTCCGTGTTTTGAGAGCCTCCCTAAATTCTCTAAAAGAGGTTTGTGGTGAGCTTGGAAGGCAGGGGAACACCGACAGTGAGGGTGACAGCCCTTTATTGGGTGCCTTCTCAGTGTCAGGCACACGCGCACACACACAGCCCTTTAGCTACTGGATTTCGTGTAATCCTCGGCTGGCTGGGCAGTGAGCTGCCAGGAGGACCCAGCCTAGTGTGCTTGCACGTGAACCCGATAGAGCAGGTTGGTGGAGGGGACGGGGAGAAGGAGCCCATTGCTCAGGTGCGCCTGCTGCTGTCCACGAGGAAGTACCATGGTCAAAGCCGTCCCGGTTCTCCCACTTGGTCCATTCATCTCTGACTTGGGGCATTACAGCTGAGGTCCTTTTCCCCCTTGACTAGCCACACAAGTTGCAAAGGCTCAGAGGATGTCTGCTTGTTTTAAGGAAGCCTGACATCTTTCTCACCTGGACTAAGGGAAATGCCAGTAGAAACATTGCATGGTTTTGAGAATGCTTTAGTCACAGCCTTATGCTTCGTATTAGCACTTGTTCCTGTCGATTTTTCATTTAAAATCACTGCTGGGACGGTTTTGCATAGTCACCTCCAAGTGTTCCTCAGGCTCTATGGTGGTCTGGCTCATTCCCTGGGACCTTCCTCTGTCAGGACCTGCTCCACACCTTGCTAATGTATGTGATCTCACCGGCCAGTATGTTGGGGTGGTCGGTCTTTAGTGTTAGGCGGCATGACACCCCCGAGTTTTTAAAGGACCTGGAGAGAAAAGGGCAAAACTGCCTTCTGTGGCTTTTGAAGACTCTTGGAGGCTGGGAAACTGAAAAGGTGCAAACTGAATCCTGGTTTGGATGATGCTTCAAACAGAGGCAGCCCGTTACATGATTTCTTTGCAAATTTCTTAGGGTCAGCGTGTCAGGGGTTCAGCTAGAAGAGTTGGGGAGCAAGCTGTGCCAGCCAGGCCTGTTCGTTTCCTCTCTGCTGTTCTCCCCGTCCCTTCTCTCTCTGGAAATAGTAGGATCCTGAGGCTGGTAGATGAGAGATGGGCAGATATTTGAACAGGGTTGGGAACCAAGGACTGGATGAGAGGAGATGTGCGGGGTCACAGCCAGTCTATGAAGGGGACTGAGTTGTTGGCAGCTCCAGAGTCACGATATAGGACAGTTACCAGGAGGCTGCTTTCAGTCTGGTTTAAGGGTCAGTGCTTGACAATGAGAACTGCACGATGATGAAATTAGCCGCCTGGAGAGGAAAGGAGTTTCTCTCATGGCACCATCAGAGCATCAAGCGCATGGTCAGCTGGTGAAGATGTTTTAAAGCTTGGTATCAAGCACTGATGTCCTTATGACGCTTTTCTAAACTGCTTGTACGGGGCAGATTCTAGGCTAGATCTGAACGTGCTGGAGTTATTTCTCTTGACCCTGCAGAGCTTTTCAGACCTTGTATGGCTCCTGGCCTGTCAGTGCCCCAGGAGGAGGCTGCCAACCCTCCGCAGCGCTGCCCACAGAGTAGACACTGAGTGCCGCCCACACTGAGAGGCCCCCTACAGAGAGAGAGGCCCCCCACACTGAGAGGGGCGCCTGAGAGGCCCCCTGAGAGGCCCCCCACACTGAGAGAGGCACCAGACTTCAACTGTGCTCCCACAGAAACCTGTCCTTAATTCCAGTTGCGGATGAAAAAATTGAAGCCTAAAGGTTTAAATGTTTTTTGGGGTTTTTTAAAGAAAGGCTTTTAACAGACCCCAAAACAGACCGGTTTTTGCTTAGTTCTAATTATGAATTCTGGTGGCGGGAAAGTGTATTTAAACATTATCAACTGTTTTTATATAAAAGTGGTCACTGTGTTACATGTACTGTGGCACTTGCTGTAGAAAATGTCTGCCTGCACGGCCACAGCCTGATCCCCCTCCGTGTCCCTTCACCCTCAGCAGCTGGAGGCTGGAGCTGAAATTGCTGTTTAGACCATGTCCCATCCCCACTCCGGTCTCTTCCTGGTTCTTTCCCACGCGAAGGAGAGGCCACATCCTATGAGGCTGTGCTGTAGACCCTGCCTTGGCTAGTCTCCCACTCCCCTGCTCGTCTACAGTTTTTCCTTTGCTTCCCCTGGCTCATTCCTCTCCTTGCTCAGCCCCTTCCTGTCCCTCACGTGCTCCAGGCCCGCTTCCCACAGATGGTTGCTTCTCTGTTTGAGATGCCTTCTCTCAAACAGCCATATATTACTCCCTGGCTGCCCTGGGGTCTGTGCTCAGAAGTCAGCTTATTGCGGGGGGAGGGGGGGGCTTTGCTAACTCTCTTCACCTCCACCCCAGCCCTAAACTTCATCACACAGTTACTCCCTATCCCTCTGCCTGCCTTTATGGCATTTTGTTCCCAATTACTGACAAATAAATACATAACCTGCTCTCCCCTCCCCACCCCAGCCCTCAGGAGGTAGGGACTCATTTGCTTTTGCTCACTGCCCTGCAGCACTTAGGATAGTGCCTGCCACTGTTCAGATAGAGGCTCAGGAAGATGAGGAAGGAACAAATATCTGTCTACCTAATACTGTCAGTATTGACTTAGCACTTGTGAAAGCAAATGGGGTGTGCATGAGAGCCTTGGGTCCATGCAGGTTGTTAGCTGTAATGGAGAAACCAACAGGCCCGATCCAAAGCCCCGGGGCACTGCTTGAAGACTCGCATGTCTAAGAGCTGAATGGCAGCACACTGTGCCAGCTGTTAGTGAGGCCAATGAGATTATACCTGTGACGTGGCTAGGATGCCCTCAGCGACATTGAGAAATGACTGTCACTGACGAAAGGCTCTTCTGAATGACTGCTGTGCTCTCCTTACTCCTTGTTTATATTCAGTTGGTCTAACGCAGTGGTTCTCAACCTTCCTAATGCCGCGACTCTTTAGTACAGTTCCTCATGTTGTGGTGACCCCCAACCATAAAATTATTTTCGTTGCTACTTCATAACTGTAATTTTGCTAGTGTTATGAATCGTAATGTAAACATCTGATATGCTATATGTGTTTCCCAATGATCGCGAACCACAAGTTGAGAACTGCTGGAAGGGATGAGTGTTAGAGGCTGATTTGAAAATATTTTCAGTTTACGTTCCTTATTGGCCAGCTCAGTTGTATCATGTGTTACCATCAATGTGTCTAAGGTGCTGTGTTGAGATTGAGCATGAATTCCCAAGGTCATTGAGATATACGGTAAGTTTGGAAATAGCTCAGCTAACTCTTAAGTTCATGTGTTCATCATGGTCTATGATTTCTCTTTTCCCCTTTAGTGTTGCCTGGAATAGCAGAGAATTGGAAACAGTCATATCTGAGGACCGTGCATCTATGTTGTGGTATTTAAAAAAGATAACTCAGTATGCTTCCCAGAAGGAACCACGTGTCTGCCAATCAGAGTTTGTTGAATGCTGCCTGCGAAGGATTCAGTCATGTGAAGTCTGCCTGGATCCCAGTGGACTGTGTTTGGAAATGCAGCTAAGAAGATGAAAGACATTGGACAGCAGTTACTCAGTTCACAAGTACTTGATGGACACAACTCTTTGACCATGTCGCCTAGACAACCTCATGCTAATAGAGCCACTCGGCCAGACAGACAAGAAGCTCAGACAGCTTTGTATCAAGGCTCAGAGGCCGAGGCCGCCATGATGACCACGGCCACGTGTGTGAAGTGCAAGACTGTTCACCAGATCCCTCTTCAGGATTTGAAAAAGGGGCCGGGGCAGAGCCACAAGGAAGACAGATACGTGTGCTTCCAGTGCAGCCTTGGAGTGGCTTCTCCCCACTTCCCTTTCGGGAACAGTGATCCCAGCGCTACTCACGTAGGAAATAAAGCCGACACCATCACAAGTTCTGGCAATAACAAATTTAAGGTAAGAAACTTTAAACCAGGCAAATACTATTGTGATAAATGTCGCTTTTCCACGAAGGACCCTCTGCAGTACAGGAAGCACACGCTTCAGCACGAAGAGATCAAGTTCATTTGTTCTCACTGCAGCCACATTTCCTACACGAAGGGGGAGTTTCAGAGACACTTGGTGAAGCACACAGGCATCTTCCCTTACCGATGTGAGTACTGTGACTATGGTGCTATTAGGAACGATTACATTGTCAAGCACAGGAAGAGAGTTCACGAGAGAGCTGGCGGAAAACGACAGCCCAAAGCCGTGGCCAAGCCGGAGCCGAAAAGGACCAACGCATCAAAACAAAACGCAGAGCTTTTCAAAACCTCTGATCCAGGCACCACACTGCAAAGCAAGTTACCAGATCAACTCTCGAGGTTCTCCCTCCAGACAAACAAAGACAGAGCGCGCAGCATCACACTGGTACCCGAGTCGAAGGAGCACCAAAAAGACGTGGTGTGTATTCCAAACAGAGGGACCCTGTTGGAGCCAAATGAAGTCGGTGTGTTGGAGAACAAAAGCGTGGAGGTGGAAGTGTTATCCCCGGCCACAGAGCCCGTTCAGCCCGGAATGCCGTTGACTGTGGTGGCGCCAGCAGAGCTCGTGGTCCCTGCCAACTGTTTGGCGCAGTTGATAGATGTGAAGGTTGTCAATGGAACACAGCAGCTTGTTCTGAAACTGTTTCCTTTGGAAGAAAATAATTGCCTAGAAGCTGGTGGGGGTGATGGAGGTCATTCTGAACGTAGGATTAAAGAGAAGGGTTCAGATGAACAAGGAAAAATGCTCCCTGCAGAACAAACCAAGTCACTGACAACTGAAGGGCGTGCTGGAGAACCTTTAGGCCTTGATTGCCTTCAATCAGTTCAGAAACAAGTTAAAAATGTGAAATGGGTACAGTCTTACGATGTGTTCATGTCAAATTCTAGTGTGTACCCCTCTAGAGAATCCCTCCTCAAGTCGGCTAGAGTTGAGGATTTGCAGAAAAAAAGTCATATGTATCCACATAGAACTGCTCTTCCTCCCGTTGCCTTAAAAGGTCACTCCCCATCATCTATAGTGAAAAACAGTGTTTTATGTGGCCTTGGCACTGCCCCAAATCCCTTTCCATATAAAGCTGCTGCTTCTTTTACTGAAGATGGGAGGCATTTGCACAGGGACCCCCAGAAGTTTCTTCCTCTGGCTGCATCACCTGCAGCCATTTCCTTCTCTGGAGAAAAGGGCTTTTTGCCTATAAGTAAAAATGACTTGGAATCTAGAAGTGAGATCAGTATTCCTATGAGAATGGTTGCATCTACTAGGAAGCTGAAAGACAACCAGACAGAGGAATATAAGGCAGTTTCAAATACAGGCCAGATTTCCTCTCATCGTGAAAGTGAATATTTACACATAAACATAACAGGAGAAGACAGAATCAGATCTCAGCAGCCTGGGGATAAACCTTTGGAGTTAAAGAATTCTGAAAGGACTAATAACTCTTTCAATGGCCCAGTCATTTCATCAGTATTTTCTCTGAGCTCCGGATCTGAAGACGTCCCTGAGGGCGTTAAGTGGAATAGCTCAACATCCAAAATAAAGTCAATTGAACTCCTGCGCAGAAAGATCGCTCAGTTAATTGAATCCTGTGGCAAGCCTTCATCTCTGGCTGCCAATAATGCACATCGTCGTTCTGTAGGGCAGGCATCAAAGGTAACTTCAAAATCCACCCCTGAAGGTATTCAAGAAATTAATGTGTCATTTACTGGCACTGGCTATTCCACTCACACTCTCTCAAAACCTCAGGATGATAGTTGCATTAGTAGACAGCGTACCCGTCAGCAGATATATCCACAGTTTGTAGAAGGCAGCAATGGGAAAACCGAAAGCCAAGTAACCAGGAAGGCTCATGTTGCTACTCCAGTGTTGATCCCCAAAGGAGCAGTGTTGAGGGTTCTTAATTCCTCAGAGGATGCCCACATTATAGAGGCTACATGTGAAGCACCCGTCAGCATTCCTTACAGTGAGACACAGTTAATAAAACCCATTCCATTCTGCCCCGTGAAACAGACAGATTCAAACTTACAGTCTTCAACAAGTGAAAGTGGGCCAATAGACATGTCCCAGAACCTCGACACATCTCTTCGGCCTAAACCAAGAAAAGAGAGTGCTGTTGGTAGCACCATCCCGAAAAAAACTGGCCCTCTGCATGGTCAGCAAGCAAGCAGTGAATTGAGTAAGCAAGGGAAAGTGCCCTACAGAAATCTTCCTATAAATAAAAATAAAACCAAGCAAGTAAATTCATCCAAGAAGAAAAGCAAAATTCAGGCTGACCCCGGCCTCTGTCTCAAGGATCCTTCAATTTTTCAGGTTACAAGACAGCTTCGACTGATAGCAGTTAAACCGGACCAGTTGATTAAATGCCCCCGTCGGAATCAGCCCGTCATTGTGTTAAACCATCCTGATGTTGACTCACCGGAAGTGACCAATGTGATGAAGGTAATAAACAAGTACAAAGGCAATGTCCTCAAAGTTGTCTTATCGGAGAGGACCAGGTGTCAATTAGGCATCAGACGGCATCATGTGCGGCTGACCTACCAGAACGTGGAGGAAGCGAATCAAATAAAAAGGCAAATGATGTTGAAGATGAAACTTAAAAAAGTCCATAAAAACAACTACCAGGTGGTGGATTCCTTGCCTGATGATTCACAGTGTACGTTTAAGTGCTGGTTTTGCGGACGGCTGTACGAAGACCAGGAAGAGTGGATGAGTCATGGTCAGCGGCATTTGATAGAAGCAACCAGGGATTGGGATGTTCTTTCTTCCAAAGGCAAATAAGTGAAAAATTGGTGTTTGAAGCAATTTTTTTTTTTTAGTTTATTCTGGTTAGGGTTGGGTTTGTTGTTTTTCCCCATCCCTGACTCAGTAGGAGAAATAGAGATTGTAGGAACGGAACCGTTAATTGTTCAGATCCCTTGTAGGAATGTTGAGAACCAGGCATCTGGTGTCCCCTGATATGTGACTGGAACCTGGAAGGTATTTGAAGCCCCTGAAAGAGTACGCACACATTTATGTACATGCATTTTTTTGGAGAAGTGAAACTTTCAACAAACTTTCAGTGGGATCTGAGACCTTTCTGTTTAGCACCCCGGTTTCTGTGCGGATACAAACCTCTTGTCATCCAGTGAGAGGGTGAGTTTAGAGTGTCTTACACATGCTACTGATCAATTAAACCCATGTGGTTTCCTTTTTCTTTGCATTAACTTGTCTCCTGAATATTTGGTACATAATGGAAATTATATTTTCTACTGTTATCTTAAATTTGGTTACAGAAAAGTGGCCATTCTTTTCAATCCCTCACCCCTTCTATAATCCTCTTAAGTGTTCTTTACAGCACAGAAAACTGTGCTTCTTGGGACTGTCTGAAAGAATGATTGTAAAGTTTTGCCTAAATTTGCTGCTTCCACAGCGTGTGTTAGGGGAGAAAGAAAACATTTTCAAGCTTTTGCATTCTTTCTTAAACATCTCAATTTATGACAATTGGTGAGGGAATGTGCCTTTTTGCAAAATAAAAAAGAAATGGTCACAAAGGGAAAATATCTCAAATTAAGTCTTTTGTTTGTCCTTACCCCTCTCATAAACAAAGTAACCAGTTAAAAATGTGAATATGCAGGTCTCTTAGACATAGATCGAACCTGGGAAGATAATGCAAGGTCAGATTGTGGAGGCAGCTGTGACTTTAAGGTGACTGAGTTTTCGTTTGGGGACTAACTCTCCATCCATCACTCAGGGCTCACAGACACTGCCCTCCACCCCAGGTCGCAGCCTACTCTCCTTTGCCACTTATCCCACGGGGGGGTCTGTTCAGACAACTCCCCACTCACCTCCTGTCCCTTTCCTTTTGTGCCTTTGAGGCCCCTTAAAGTCGTCCCTCGTGAAAATACTAAAAAAGGGCAGGAATCAATAAAACGCAAACATCCCACCATCTTTGTTAAGATTATAGGAACACTATCCCGGGTCTTCATTGACGGTAACAATGTGCATCTAATTGACCTTTGCCACAGCCATGCTTTCCCCATTACTCGCTTTGCTAGGAAGCAACTCCTGAGAGCATCCCTGCTCCCCTCTCCATCACCAGGTGTCAGGACCGGAGCTGAGCTGTACAACACCTTCGTGTGCATCAGAAAACAGCCCGCCCTCTGCCGCTGGGGCAATACTCGGTTGGCAGATGGAGCTTGGACTGCATCTTAGTCCTTCCTTGCCCACTCAGCTGGGCCCCAGCCATCCTGCAGAAGGCGAATGGCTCAGACACACGCCAACCCGGCCCTTGAGTGCTCCTCGCTGTAGGCATTCAGGCCTGTGCTGGGGTAGGGAATGCCACTGGGGTTGTCACAGCTGAGGAAGACACGAGAGAGATTCCTGTTGCATTGGATAGTCAGAGATGGATATTTCTTTTTTCCCCACAGGGGAAAGTCTTAGATTACCCTCTGATTGGGGGAGGGGGGCAGGGCGGGTGTTGCAGTTCTGTGTCGTTTCTCATTACAGTAGTTAACATGTCTTATGTGTAATTTGGGACATGATCACTGAGTTGATTAATTGATCAATTTTTGTTGAAATTTGGATTTTTTATGTGTATACAAGTATATGTACACATACCAGTATTTTTTACCATATGAAAACTGTAATACCTAATTTTCTGATTTCCTATTTTATAATGAAATTAGGTGGTTTGGAAAATATAAAATGTTTTATATTCTAGAAATAACTTATTTTGGAAGTACCTTTTTATAATCGTCTGATTTCACTTTGAGCAAATGAAAGCACAGTCGAGAGTGGGTCGGATTTGTATGAACAAACGGAGTGGCCACCCCGGCGATCATTTCATCACAGACCTCAGTCCCGAACATTTCCCCTTGGGGCGTTCTGAGCAGTGGAGCGCGAGACTGCTTCGCTGCATACAGGAGGCCATTGCGCAGGTCTACCCGGGTGTAGGTCTGTGCCCCTCCAACATGAAAGAAGCCTCCGGAGGCATTCAGAGAAGAGAAGGCTGTGGTTTTCTTTTTCCTCCTATACCTCACTACATAGTTGCATCTTTCCTGAAAGCATAGACTGGCCTTTCAGGAGAGAAAACCATGACTCGGGTCAGTGTTAAGTGTCAACATGAAGTATTTACACTTTGCAGCATCAACCCTTTTTGCAAGTATTACCTAAAGCAGCTTACGTCCTTGTACAGAGCTCACGTTCATGAGGCGGGGGAGGCGGGTCAGAATTACAGTACTTATTAAGGAATTAAGAAGGCTCCGGGGAGTCATAAAAAGTGAGGAAGCAAAGACTGGCTGTCTTCCTTATGTGAAGAGCGTTAGGAAATAGCTTGTTAGCGTGTAGGTGAGTGTCGTGAAATGCGTGAAATGCGCTGTAGCGTCATTTCTAACAAGATTGGAGAAGGTAGCAGAACTGTGTTGAGTATTTGTGTGCTCTTTCTTGCCATGATTTTGAAGGACCTCCTCTCACTAAACTTTACTAATAGTATTTACTAATGACATCATTTTATGCTTATTTTTAACAGATTTTCTTTTGGGGGGCAGAAATGAGATGATCTTATATTTATGATATGACAAAGAGTGAAAGTTGTTGTTTTTTAATGACTTAATAGATTATATTTTACTCAAATTGTTTTCCTCAGCCCCAAACAATTTTGTGAGCCCCTGTTATGGGCCAAGTGCTGTTGAATTAAATGGGACACAATGTGTTAACCCTCGAGAGCCCCTGCCTCCTGCTCTGGGACCTCCTGTAGAAGCCGTCCCAGGAAATGATGGTGTGATGCTGCCCCGCCTTTTGAAGACGGTGTGAACCTGTCAGTGTCAACTGAGAAAAAATAAAACCTTGCATAACCCGTTTCAAGCACCCCTAGAGGTCCTGTGTTAACAGTGTGTGCTGCTGCGCTTTGGAAACACATTTATATAGAGATTCAGGAGTTGGAGTAAATTTTGTTAAAGCAACTGTCAACGTTTCTCTGCCCTTTCATTTCAAATGTTCAGTAGCGTGGCTCTTTCTTGTACAGCCTACCTGTGCGCGGTACGTTTCCGACCCACATACAGTCCAGTCAGCGTCACTGTACACAGCGCAGGGGCCTTGCTTCCCCTGGGGTCTGTTCTGAATTCCATGCTCTGCTGGTTAACTATGCACCCTGAGAGGAGGCCAGGTGACACTTTTTTTATTAAATATATTTTTATTGATTTCAGAGAGGGAGAGATAGAAACATCAATAATGAGAATCATTGATTGGCTGCCTCCTGCATGCCCTCTACTGGGGATCGAGCCTGCAACCCAGGCATGTACCCTTGACCGAAATCGAACCCGGGACCCTTCAGTCGGCAGGCTGATGCTCTATCCACTGAGCCAAACCAGCTAGGGCCCAGGTACATTTTTGTTTTGCTCTGGCTGAAACCCGCAAGGTGCTGGTGTGGGCGGCAGTGTCAATCTTGGCACCATGGTCAGTGGCCTCATGGGAGAATGTATGGGGCACATAACCTGCATAGCTCTCCACGGGAAGGGGTCCTGGGTGGGAGTGCTCAAGCCATTGAGAAGCCTCGGGACCACACTTACATGGGGAGAAGGGGCGTGAGGCTATTTGGAGAGGGCTTCATTCCCTCCTCTCATTCCCAGCATCCAAGGAGGTCAAAAGGGAAAAAGAGACTTGAACTTGAGATGACCCTGAGGAGAACAAAGAGAAGATGGGAGTTGCTTCAGGGCAGCAGTTTGGCTGATTGTTACCCCAATTGTAGTGCGGTTGTTGTCCTCTAACCCTACTGAAGGAGGCTCCTAAGTTGTCGCCCCTGGTTGTTTAGGGGGCAGGAGAGATCAACAGGCAGTGAAGGCTTGAAGGGGGTTGTGAAAGCCTGGACCACCAGGACGGCTGCCATGGAACAGAAGAGGGGACTTGGGCAGAAACTGACTTCAAGGCCGTAAAGTTAGGAAGTGGCAGTCACTCATCCACATTTCATCAGTAAGAAAACTGAAAGGTTAATGATGCCCGTTCACAAGCTTAGGGGCAGATGAGCACAGGAAGCAAGTCTGTAATGCTCTTTGTTTTGCAAGATGCAGAGCCTTCTGTGGCCTCAGGCTGTGCTCAGCGTGAATTGCCTTAAGGTTCCAGCTGGTATCAGACACACTGGGTGGGCTGAGACCCCCGTGATAAGGATTTTGGACTCAGTCTGGAGCAGTGCTGTCCACTAGAGATAGGACGTGAGCCGTGTCTGTCATCTTCACTTTTTCAGTAACTACACTTAAAAGCATAGAAAGAGATGAAATTAAATATATTTGACCCAAGACATCTACGGTGTTATTTACACATTTTCGATCAGCATACAATTGATTGAAATAATTTTATGAATATGTGTATACATAAACCATTTTTCATAAAGCCTTTAGAAATCTGGTGGATATTTTAAACTTATGGCTTGTTTTTATTTTGATGCTCAATTGTCACTTACAATGAGACGTAGTCCTACCAGAACACCTACGTTGTGTTTAATGGAAAGATTTTAGACTGCCTGCTTCAGATTTTATCAATTAAATTACCACTCAGTTCTTCAGTCAGCCTCGCCACAATCCAATACCAGTAGCTCCTACATTGAGCAGCACAGGACAATGGAAACACACTGTGTTGTAAATATTAGCTTATTATCCAAGCGCCTTGATGGGAGGAATGGTGTAATTTATGTCTGTGTCTCTAAAACTGGGGTAGACTAAGTTTCACTAACTCTGGTTTAGGAATACCCATTCTGTGCCCAATTCTGCATTCATTCCCTCCTCGCACTCCCACTCCCAGCAGTTCTAGTTCTAGGTCTGTCCCCTAGAGAGTGGTTACATCTGTGACTTGGAGATTATTTTTTTTTTTTAGAAGTAAACCTTGAATACTTTTTAAAAAATATATTTTTATTTTTACAGAGAGGAAGGGAGAGGGATAGAGAGTTAGAAACATTGATGAGATAGAAACATCTATCAGCTGCCTCCTTGCACACTCCCTACTGGGTATGTGCCCGCAACCCAGGTACATGCCCTTGACCGAAATCAAACCTGGGACCCTTGAGTCTGCAGGCCGACGCTCTATCCACTGAGCCAAACCGGTTAGGGCGACTTGGAGATTATTTTGCAACAACTTTAGTTGGTCAGCCAAACAAATGTTTATTTCTCATTCTCACGGCATGTGCACAGTCTGGCAGGGATCTCATCTGATGGGGGGAGGGGCGTCTTGTAGCTGAGCCATCTGAACATCTGGGCATCCTCACCCCAGCAGAGAAAGAGCAAGAGGAGAGGTCGCTGCACAGGTGGAGAAGCACACAGCGCTCCACTGACAACCCAGAGTCCGAAAGAGGTCACAACCTCCCAAGGGGCTCCGCAGCCCGTCTGTGTGCAGAAGGAAAGTGCACTGACAGTAGATCACAGGTGGTGCTGGGAGTGTCAATGGTAGTCACCTGCGTGGAAAGCAACTTGCCAGTCTGGTAGCTGGAAAATAAGACCGTCGGCTGAGAGCCGGTGAAGACACGGAGAAACAGGAACTTCGGCATACTATTTGGCAATAAATACTGAAACTGGATGAAGCGCTGTATTATTTCCCTTTTCATTTCCCCGATTCCTAGTGGGATCGTGTACTTTTGCGAGTTGGACATTTTCATTTTCTGTGCATGGCTGCTGGTATTTTGTCCATTTACTATTGAAGTACTTACTTTAAACTTTTAAAAGAAAATGTAGACTTTAAAAATCCATAAGGAAAAACAACTTCCTTTAGGTTTTGGGGCTTTTTGTGCTTTATTTTAGAAATTCTTCCCTACGTTTAGGTCACAAAGATAGCCTTTATATTAAATTTTGTATTAAAAATGAGCTTCCATAGAATAGTGAGCACCATCATAAAATACAAGCTGTCAGTTACAGGTATTTCAAAAGGATTTCTGGGTCCAAAGTTGAGAAATACCTAAAGCAGATTAGATGTATATCCTCACAAATGTCAGTCCAGGCAGTCACTCGATTGTGCTAACACCCATTTTTGGAGAGTCCATGCTTTTCTCCCTGGTTTCCGGCTTCCACGTGTGAGTAGACCTATGGCTGGGTCTCTGTGCTGCTGAGCTAGCTGTTTATTATGATTCTTCTTCAAAGGTCATTCTTTAATATATTTTTATTGATTTCAGAGAGGAAGGGAGAGGGAAAGAAAGAAACATCAATGATGAGAGAGAATCATTGATCGGCTGCCTCTTGCACACCCCCCACTGGAGATCAAGCCCACAACCCAGGCATGTGCCCTTGACTGGAATCGAACTCAGGACCCTTCAGTCCACAGGCCAACGCTCCATGCACTGAGCCAAACCAGCTAGGGCCAAAGGTCATTCTTTTTGATTAAATTGTTGATGGTATTACACCTGTCCCCCACTTTCCCACCTTTGCCCCCTGTACCCTGCCCCAACCCAGGCCTTCACCACACTATTGTCTGTGTCCATGGTCTTATGCATATGTTATTTGGTTAACCTCTTCCTATCTCTCCCCCCACCCCTCTTCCCTCTGAAGTCTATCAATCTCTGGACCTATTTTGCTCAGTTTATTTTGTTCATTAGATTCCACATATAAGTGAGATCATGTGATACTTGTCTTTCTCTGTCTGGTTTATTTCTCAGCATAATACTCTCCAGGTCCATCCATGCTGTCACAAACGGTAAGAGATCCTTACTTTTTACACCTGCATAGTATTACATTGTGTAAATGTACCACAGCCTTTTTTAGTCACTCATCTACCGATGGGCACTTGAGCTGTTTCCAGATCTTAGCTATTGTAAATTAGCTATAAGCATAGGGTTGCATAAATTCTTTCTGATTGGTGTTTTGGGATTCTTAGGATATATTCCCAGAAGTGGGATCGATAAGTCAAAAGGCAGTTCCATTTTTAATTTTTTGAGGAAACTCCATACTGTTCTCCACAGTGGCTGCACCAACCTGCATTCCCACCAGCAGTGTACTAGGGTTCCCCTTTCTCCACATCCTCACCAGCACTGTTGTTTGTTGATTTACTGATGGTAACCATTCTGACAGGTGTGAGATGGTACTTCATTGTCGTTTTGATTTGCATCTCTCTGATGATCAGTGACATTGAGCACTTTTTCATGTATCTATTGGCCATCTGTACATCCACTTTGGAGAAGTGTCTATTCAGGTCCTTTGCCCATTTTTAAATTGGGTTGTCTTCCTGGTGTTGGGTTGTTTGAGTTCTTGGTATCTCCTGGAGTGACCAGACAACTACAAAACAGGCATTCCTTCAACCTGTAGAATACCAGCTTCAGATCAAAAACTCATAGTTTTCTCTACATGTCAGACTGCCCATTGCATTGTTGGGCTGAGATTTACTTAGTAAATTGCATGCACAAGTCACTTTTCCCCTGAGAAGCAGCAGTTATATTTAGAAGTCTTGCCAGAACATGCTCTCCAGTTCCAGGTGCTCCTGCCCTGCCCGGAAGGACCTGACGGTGAACTCTTCCTACCTGAGATCTACAGACACGCTGATTGAGCCATTTAGGCTGACAGAACCCCAGGTAGAACAGTTAGCATCCAACCCATAAAAACCTAAAAGAAGGGGCATGGATCCCACAAAAGAAATAGTGCCCCCGTAAAAAGGAAGATTTAGAGGGAATCCAACCAGTATTGCAGAAATTCTTAAAATCGGGATTAAGTTGTCCATGCCTGTCTCCCTCTACCACTCCCATTTTGCCAGTCAGAAAGCTCCAATCGAATTAGTACCGATTTGTACAGGTTCTCAGGGCCATAAATGACGTTGCCCAGGACATCCATCCTACGGCACCCAACCCTTATAGTTTGTTGACCATGGTGCCCAGGGATGGCAAATGGTTTTTAGTCCTAGACATGAAGGATGCTTTTTTCTGTGTCCCAATAGATGAACAGGCTCAACTATTTGCCTTTGAATGGCAGGACCCAAAAACTAAAGCCACACTCCAATACAGTTGCACTG